AAAAAAAAAAAAAAAAAAGAAAAAGAAAAAGAAAAAAAAGTAAGAAAAAGAATAAAAAGAAACACCACCTCGTTTTCTCACGCGCTTCGGTAATTTAGTCGACGTTTAAAATGGCGTGTTTCACGCGAATATTTCTTGCCCGATTTCCACCGGTTTATCGATTCGTTTTCTGCTTTAGGAGCAGCTCGATCCCGTATTACTTAAAAATTAAAGCACAGAAAAAAAAAGCTGCGACGAATCGTTGAAAAATATTTCTTTTTCGTTTATAACTTTTTCGTAAATTTTAATAGTTAGAAAAAAGAATGATTTAATAGCCAAAATATTCTCTCGATGGATTTGTGTTTTTTTTTTTTTTTTACTTATCACTTATTATTTTACTTATCACAATTGATCGTTTAACCTAAAAAGAAAGAGATCTTATTCGTTTATCTTCGAAATTGACGCATCTAAAGTTAAGTTGTTTCCGAGCTACGCAAGCTCGAGAGAAACTTCGATACCTGGCTAATTATCACGGCACGGATCTTCACGCGTATCTTCTATGTATACGAACGTTTCGTTCGTGGAGTTCGATTGATTGGAAAACCTTTTGCTTCATTTCTAGACTTCTTCTTCTTTTTCTTTCACCAGAATCTCGAATTCGAGAGGAAGTAGAGAAAAAGAAGAAAGTGAAAAGCTTTTGAAGGAAGAAAATCAAGGTAGTTTGAGACTTGACAAGATTGAAGCTAACCAAACTTTTGTAAAGGAAACATGATACTGAGATTTTAATCATAACAAGCGATCAGATTTTTAATCCTCGTTAACTTGTTTCGTTACATATTTAAAAAAAAAATTTTTTTTGGGTTTATTATTAATTTTAGAAATTTTTTAAAAATCTTTTTAAAAACTATATAAAGGAAGGATGGAAGAATTTGAACATAAATTTCAAACCACTCGATTTTCCTTCGAGATTTCGAAATTTTTTATGCTGAATACTTTACAAAAAGCGAGGGATCAGAAGAAATGAAAGTAGAGGGAAGAAGTGAAAGAAAGAATGATTAACTTTTTTTGAAGAAAAATTCAATTTTGTTTCAATAGAAGTAGAGTGTGTCAATCTTAAAAGATCTTTTTTTGGTTAAAAAATATTTTAGGATCTTAGGAATTATTCGAAAAATTCTTTCTAAACAAAAATTCATTGAAGAAAAAAAAAACAAATAATAGATATTCTTCTTAGGAAAGAAACGAAGACGTTTCGTCCAGACTCGTCGAATGAACACGGTACGCTGAAATGGGTATACGGTGGTGCGGCTCGATGCTGATCGCGGAGCTTGACCTGGAGAGGGAAGCACGAGAAGGGAGTAGAATCAGTATTTGGAGGGGGCTGGCGTTATCGTTAGTGCCGTAAGACGGCACTCAAGAGCCTAGGACTACTTCAAATGACTAAAGATCGACGAGCAAACCAGAGTATCGAATTTTGTTTAGCATTTTTACTATTTATTTTCAATTTATAGAAAAAAATATTTTTTAATTTAATATATATATATTTAATAATATGAAAAGAACAAAGAAATAAAACATTCGCTTGTCAATTTCTTAATTATTGTTATTGTTAACTATATGTTTTAACCTACAATATAGCTAAATTTTTTTTTATGGACGTTCATCGGAGCAGAAAAAAAAATAATATTCGTATAAAAGATTACCCAGCTTGAGAAAAGATTTACATTTTGAATCATCGAGGTGCAATTAAGAAGACAGTCTAGACTTCGTACGGCCTCACGCTTGGCGAATACTTTAAATGGACGTTTCTAAAAATACTGGCATGCTCCGAGTGCTAGCCTCGTCGTCTGAAATTTAGTATCATTATGTGGTCTCTTCGAGGCGGAACAATCTCACGGAATTGTCACGAATGAAATGACAATCCGACGTCGCGTTAATTCTCCACGATAAATTATGAAACAGGTGCAACAGGATATCTTTCGCCTGCGTGTAAATACAGAATTCACTGTTTTCCTTGTTAATTATATTGCATATATGTAAATGCGATTTTTGATTTTTTTTTTTTTTAAATCGTCGTTCTTTTAGAAATTTGACATTGATTATTATTATTACTTTTTCTTTTTACAGTATCAATTTCAAAATGGTTTAATAAGTGATCGTAAATTACGTATTGTATTGAAGTTAACCTCTAAAAATATCATTAAATTTGTCCATCATCGTTCCAAGAAAAAAATTAATCGTAATATTTCAGACGTATAACATTATAACACTGATTGTTATTGAGATTTAAATTCTTTCTGTTCATCGGATGAATGAATTTCTGATAAAGAGTATTTATGCAAGTAACATTTCGTTTGCGACACGACGATTACTTAGCATCACGGATAGAAGAGGAGGAGAGCAACGAGAAAAGAGTGAGAGACGGAGAGAGGCTCAGCTTTGTGGTTTGTTGTCTAACTAATTCAAGGGAAGCGAACTGCCTCAGGTCGCAATCGATAATTCTCGCTTGAATCGTTTAATCACGTTTTATCATTTGTCGTTTTGATATCGTTAATTGTTATCTCTCCGACACGATTATTCTGTTTAATTAATTAAGTTAAAAGAAAAGCATCTTTGTCTCTCTTGTCAACTCGATATATACGTGTCGGTGATGCTCGCCAAACTCGTTTAAATATCGATGGTGTTGTTAGTTTTCTTTTAATTATCTCTACCAACGCTCGCCTCGAATGGCCTAAAATTCTCGGCTTGGCTGGAAACGGTCCATTTACGCGCACGTATTTGATTGCAGGCTATTCGAGAGGGGAAGCGTTCAGCCGGCGAGAAACAAGAAGTAACGGGGGGCATAGAAGTGGCGAGGAGGAGGAAAGTAGGACGAGCAACGTCTTCTCCTCGAGTAGCCTCGACTATTCTTTTTTTTTCCAAGAGCGTAATTGCCGGTTTTCGAATGCACGAAATAAAATTTTACTAATATTCTCTTCTCCGATACCGAGCCTATCGCTGCCAGCTCGTCGTTAATCGTCCATTCACCTCCGCCCCTCATCACCTCCACCGTTTTTAAAGGTCCTATAGATCCATCGCTCTTTTTATCTTTTTTACATCCCTATATTTATAACCTCAACTTCGACGTAACATTTATTTATTTACTTCTAAAAATCCTTCAGAAATATTTCTCTTTCAATTGCTCTTTTATCCTTTCTTTGATCAAATCTAAATCAAATCAATCAATTCATTTATAATGAATAATAACAAATTTTTACAATTTTCTAGTGATCCAACCAAAGGCAGAGAGAGAAGAAGAAGAAAGAAAGAATACGTGTAATTTATAAACATTATAAATTATAAAACCGAAACGAGATAATTTCTCCAATTCAGCAGCGACAACACAGAAATTCTCCAATTTATATTCCGACATGGCCCTGTGCTTGCTCGACACATCACTGACCGAGGGGGTTGGCTAGTCTGGT